AAGGATTAGATAAGAAGCTCAATGCATACACTGAATCAGAAATACGATCAGCACTGATAAACCTGACAGATACCAGAGCTGAGGATACACATATGGTCCCAAATGCTTCTGCTGACCTTGCTGGGCGATAGCAAAGGTCAGCCAAGTCTTCATCCATCTCCATCAGTGCTGCTCCACTCTTTTCCTGCTCTATTGTCCTCCGATGACCACATGACTCTTAAGCGACCTTCACACCCACAATTCATCTGATAAAGCAGACACACAATATACACACTGACGGGCTGATGGAGTCTGTGCAGACTGAAAGACAGACCTCTGAAAACACACCCGCTTGTTCTCTCAGTTTCTAACGGTAAATTTTGCCCGGCGGGGTTTTGGAAAAAAATACATTTTTTGAATTCTGAAATTGTCAGATAATTGGAGTACGCAGGCCGTGCGATGAGCTAAAAACTTTTAAGAATGAAGCGTTCTCATAAGGGCACTGACCCATTGTGGCGTCCTTTTTATTTTTGCAGAACCGCTGCACGCTCAGAAGCAACAGCGTCCTAAAAACATGTTTTTCTGCTTAATAATAGAAGACCTTGTGTTTTTGAAGAAGTAGATATTTTCAGTTACTGCACTTGATCATCAAAAAGAAAAGAAAATGGTCTTGTTTTTCCATATTATATAATGTTATTCCATTGTTGTATTATTTTACTCTGGTATTTTTTACTGCGTTCTACAGTATCACCGTCCAAACACGACAATCAACTCAGATTGGGCATAGTGAGCGCCTATAATTCTGAGCGTGTTGACATTTAAATACACTGCTCAACAAAATAAAGCAACACTTTTTAATCAGAGTACAGCATCGAGTCAGTGAAACCTGTGGGATATTGATGTGGTCGGTTAAATAGCAGAGGGGGTTGTTAATCACTTTCAGCTGCTTTGGTGTTAATGAAATTAACAAAAGGTCCGCTAGACAGGCAACAATGAAACAGGAATGGTTTTACAGGTGTAGTTCACTGATATTTTCCACTCTTCATCTGTCCTGACTGTTTGTTCACTAGTTTTGAAGTGGCTAGTGTCAGTGTCACTACTGGGAACATGAGGTGATACCTGGACCATGCAGAGGTTGCACAGGTAGTCCAACTTCGGCAGGATGGCGCAACAATGCATGCTTTGTTTGTTGTGTCTTCCGGCACTTTTTCAAGACCATCGAGTGTATGCCAGGAGACAGGCAGCAGAGCTGGACAGGGCCGTAGAAGGTCCTCAACCCATCAGCAGGACAGGTATCTGCTCCTTTGTGTGAGGAGGAACAAGATGAGCACTACCAGAACTACAAAACAACCTGACTAGATGATATGACTACGAACATGTCTGACATAGTCAGGTCATAGAAACTACTGAGACCATTTTGAGTTGCTGCGATGAAATTTCAACAAAATAGATTAGTCTGCCACATAATTGAAAAAAAAGATGTCTTTGAATTCAGCCCTCTGTAGGTTGGTCATTTTCATTTCCATCAAACAGTGGTTTTTGTTCCTAACACATGACCCAGTCTAGATATTTTCGGCATGATTTTTTTCCATAGAGATCTCATGTGTTTTTCAAGTGTTGCTTGAATTTATTTGAGCTGTGTATACAAGTAACGGTTATATTACACTGGATAGAAATCGTTTAGATTCTTAGGAGGTTCTCACCACTGCTGGTGTCCTGTCCATTCCAGGACTGCAACATTCCAAGAGAATGTTGTAACATGCTGGGGTTTCTTTGGAAGTGGGTTCAGTTTTCTGTAACAGTAACAAAAACACCCACGATGTGACAGCTGTTCCCTCTAGTTCCTCTATTACAGAACAAAGGTACAAAAGGATTGAGAATGGGAACGGATGAGGGAGGTAAAGTTAGAAGAAGGGATTAGTGGCAGACAAACAAAGCCTGGTTTACTAGATCTTAAGTCATGCAGACCATCAGTCTGCACTCAAGTCATAACATGACCAATTAACCAGCTGTTGGCTTTGGTAAAAACCCAATAAAATTATATGTTTGCTGCCACATTGCTATTAGGATTGGTAGAATGATGTCTGCCTGAATTTTACTGCAGCTGCATTGTCTTCCGACTCCATCTGATACCACCAGATATGCTGTTGTACATATCCAAAGCATCCTCATGCGTCAAGCATCTATGATGCTGAAGGTCAATTTTACACAGAAGCCACATCAAAGAGAATAAAACGAAAAAGAAGGACAGGAAGTTGGAGGAAATAATCAATAACAGACCAGGCTAAATCCAGGTGTGATGTGACTCTTTGTGCAGGACGTAGAGGCAGCGTCACAGATCCACACCGGGCGTATTCATGGATACAGGTGCTAGTTGTTAAAGCAATGCATGTCAGTTTTCCAGATATACAGATATGAGTGAGTAAATGCCAACGGCAGGCAGTCAAACCTGGCCTAACATATTTCTGTGCTTCCCACATAAAAAGAAAGTTTTGGTAAAGCAGTAACAGTTTGTAAAAGGCAGGACAGCTCGATAATCACTAGTACATATAGACCATAAATAGCACAGCGCCACATGACCTGTCCATAAAGAGACAACAGCAGCTTTCTTCACTGTCTCTACTGACAGATGTACCATCTATAAACCTCCAACAGGACAACTGTTCCCTCAAAGACTGCTGGAAATGAAACGGCTGACAATAAATCCTCATGTCTGTCTGCCCCCAAATTCACTTCTGTCAAATAAATCCAAGGTGAGCGCGCCACTAGATTTGTGTACAGGGGAAATGACACCTCTTTTTTTTAATACCTGGAGACGAATGGGGTTAAGTAGAGATTGTCGATCCTTTCTGCACTGTCTCCAACCAGGGATTAGCTAACAGTTTGTACACTGCAGGGTGATTCAGTAGACAAATGGTAGCTTTACCTAAATACACACATCAAAAACATGCCTGGGATTAAAGTGCATGGGTGTTTTCACTTGTAAATTAATCATTT